CAGAAATTTCCTCTGCAGGCACAAGGCAGACTCATCTCATTGTCAAGTCTAATAAATAAATCACAGCTCAGAGCCATGGGACCCAAATGAAAATGCAACGTCTGGCACCAGTGGAGATAAAATAAATTACCTGTAATCTGGTAAGCAGGTCATCTTGATCCTCTACTCTGTTCTGGTGACTTCAGTGATTGATTTTTCTAAACTCAGATGAAGCAGAAGGATGTTCAGGTTCAGGGCTTCAAGTGATATGAAAGTGGTTGGGCCAACGCAATAATAATAAAACCCTTTGCAAAGGGAGATGAAGGGAAGAACCTTGATTCCTGGCTTCTCAAGGGCTTATGTTTACTCCCTCATGAGGTTCGATTGTGCTTCTTGCCTTCAGATCGAGAGACACTATTGTATCAGTTTAATAAACACTTCTTTTGTTTAGGGTAGTTTAAGTGGGTTTGCAAACAATCTTTCAGGTGAGAGGCCAATGCCTTTCTGATTCAATTTGATTTGAAGGAGACCCGCCCCACAAAGACTGCATGCGGCTTGGAGTTCTCCTGTGAGGGTCACTCCTTTAGTTTGAGAACATGAAAACCTCACTGAAATGAAATATTATTGTAAAAGGATTAAGGCCTTAATCAGCTCATAGCATTCTAGAACTATGCTGTCAAATAGAAGTACACGCAAGTCACCTATGTAATTTAAAACTTTTATATTAGCCAGCCACACTAAAGAAAGTAAAAGGAGACAGGTGAAGTTAGTTTTAATTTATTTTATTTAATACAAGATATAAAAATGTTATAATTTTAATATTTGTGAATAAGATATTTTACATTCTTTTGGGGGAGGTACTAAATCTTTGCAATCTGGTGTGTATTTGACACCTCCAGGGCATCTCAATTCTGACCAGTCATATTTCAAGTTCTCAGTTTTCAGCCTCTATGGAGGGAGAGAGATAAGGGAAAAGGTGCTAGAAATCGCTTTTGAATAGCCAACCACAGTGAATGTCTCTGGGCTCAAGATAAGGCATCCTGCTGTACAACAAAGGGCAGTAGATTATGAGCCAGGAGCCACCAGCTTGGTATGTGACCTTGACCTTGTCCCTGTCACCTGGCCTCTCTGAACTTACAACCTTATTTCTAGGGTGAGGGGTTGGATGCATTAGAATGTCTTTCTGTTCTAACACCTCTGATTTTATTTAAACTCCTTGAGGGCATTGAATGAGCTGTCCAGTGGTAATGTAATTAATTTAATGTGATTTATTTGGTAAAAACAGCTGTGGTTCTTCTCCTTCCTATGTCAGGGGACATTTGTGAGCCAGATAAACTCTCATGCTCACAGATTTTGATGGAAGTTTAATTACACCAAAAACCTGATGTCCTTGGTCTCTGGATGTCTTTTCCCAATGAGAATGTCAGACCCTGTGTCTGTGCTAAGCTAAAGGGACTTCCCTTGGCATTGACTGACCTCTGTTCCACCCAGGTTGGGTGAACCTCAGGCAGAACTGTGGAGGAGATGAGATTGGTCCTCTGAGGTCCCTCACATCTTCCCCTCCCACCTGGCATTCATTGCTCTCCCATGGTTGGGTCCAACCAATTCTAGCCCAGATGTGGCCTTTGTCTAAATCCTTCCGAGAGCCCTTCACTTCATGGAACTACTCAGCGTCCTCCCTTTTCTCAAAGCACTGCTCAGGGGGCCGCTGTGAGGAGCTCCCTGTCCAGTGTCAGTGATGCTGGGGGGAAAGCTGCCCTTCACATCCAGGTCAGGCGTGGGTGCTCAGCACAGGGCTCCTGCTGCAAGGCCAGGCCAAAGCAAGGCGGCTGAGCCGAGGCTCTTCTCAGGTGCAAGTAACAGAGTCCACTCAAGGGAGATGCACACCAATGGGAGTTATACCAAGGCCATCGGGTGTCTGATGAGAAATAGGGGGGAGGTGCAGTCCAGTCCCTACAACAGATTAAAACAGAAAGAAACCCGACCAGCAGTACTAGGGAAGTTTCCCTCCCTCTCTCTCTCTCTGTCTCTCTCTCTGTCTCTGTCTGTCTCTCTCTCTCCTTTATTCTTCTCCCTCTGTGATTAAGAACACATAATAAACTTGGTCACTCCGCAGTTTCAAAGTTGACTTCAAGCAATAGCAAAGGCTGACAAGCATCTCTGCATCATAAATCTAAGTTCCCAGGAGGGAGACTATGACCAGCTTACCCTGGGTTAGGTGTCTGCCCTGGTCCAGCCACTATGGTGGGGGTGAGAGGTGTGAGGGACGAAGGTCACCCTGGTACAAACCTAGATGCAGGGGCCTTTCCTGTTGGTGAGAACATACTTCTTAGAGAAGGGAGGGTGTGGGCTGGGCAAGTACTCCAAAGACTGGTGTTTTTGTTGTTGATTTGGGAAGGGGATTTTCCACGTTTTTATTGTAGAGTAATATAAAACCCCAGAGAACACATAAGATTGAAAGTGTTAATAGGTCTGAATTCTGGATCCATTATTTACTGTTGGTACAATGTTGTTTATTTTCATTATTAGACCTTATTGTATAGCATTTTCTACTTGCCAAACACTGTATTGGTCAAAGTGCTTTACATATTTTAATGTATTAATCCTCATAATGATTCTATGAAATAGGTGGTTTTATTATTATTATCCCCATTTTTCAGATGGGGAAACTGAGGCATAGAAAAGTTAAGTAGCTTGTACCAGATCGCACAGCTAGTAAGTGGGAGAATTGAAATATCAGCGCACATTGTTTGGGCTTATTATCTTTGCCCTGAATCCCTGTTATGCTAACCTTGCATAAGTCAGTTTTCTCACTTGGGAAATGAGTGTAATGAAACCTGCCTTTTCAGTTGTGTTAGATTAAAACAGATGGCACATGTAAAGGCCTACCCCTCTGTATTAGTCAGGGTTCTCCAGAGAGACAAACAAAATATACATATATAGGAAGAAAAAGAGATTTATTGTAAAGAATTGACTCACACAATTATGGAGGCTGGCAAACTTGAAATCTATAGAATGGGAGGGAAGAGCTGATGCCGCAGTTGAAGTCTGAAAATCGTCTGCTGGCAGAATTCCTTCTTGTTCTATTTGGGACTTCAACTGATGGGATGAGGCCCACCCATGCTATGGAGGGCAATCTGCTTTACTCAAAGCCCACTGCTTTAAATGTTAATCTCATCCAAAGACACTCTCACAGAAATGTCTAGAATAATGTTTGATCAAATAGCCAGGCACTATGGCCCATTCAAGTTGGCTCATAAAATTAACTATCACACCTTCTAATCATAACTGGTTGGAACTCATAAGTGAGGAGTCTGATCTCTTCCTTTCTTCTCACCTCCAGAGGCCCTGGAGAACCATCTTCTGAGGATTGGAGCAGGGTGTGGCTCAGCCTGATGGTTGACATTCTCAGTTCTCAATCTTGCCTCTTGGTTCACATGGCCATCCCTCAGGCAGCTGCACAACCAGAGAGCTCCCTCAACTACAGAACTCTGAAGCCCTCAGCTTGGTGTTCCTGTACAGCTCTGGGGTAGCTGGAAATGATTGGTTCCTAAGGCAATCCATCATGCCTGTGCCATTAGTGCCCCTGTGGTAATAACGATGTTGACAGAATGAGCAGTGAGCTAGCTTAAAAATCTGTTGACAAGCTTGGCTTTTATGGGCAGACCATGATTCAATAAAAAATTTAAAAAAGGCATCTCAGGTGTTAGATTGCCTAACACCAGCCTCGGCATGTATGTTACTATTATTGTTATTAATTTTAACAATGCAGCACATTCTTAAAAATATGTAAGCATATTCTACCAAATAAAATAGCTGTGTTGCCTCAGCTTTGCTGTAATGTTCACATGAGACACAACTATATTCAAAGTCAGTAGAGGGTTAAGTCAGCAGGCCCTAGTTTCTCAAACCTGGTACATTCTAAAGGAAGGTTGGTCTTCAGAAAACTGGCCCTTCACTGGCTCCTAGGAGATCATCCCTGAGCCCTTGTAATATCCTGCCTGGTAAGTGTTTTTGCAAGCCTGAGGCCCTGGGCCATGCTATATCAGTTTGATCTCTGAGGGACTGGAGACTGAGTAACTCAGATCAGTCACAGAGTCCTATGTGGCTGATCCCCAATAAAAACTCAGGACACCAGGGCTCAGGTGAGGTTTCCTGGTTGATAATACTTAACATGTGTTGTCATATATTGCTGCTGGGGGAATTAAGTATGTACCTGTGCAACTCCTTTGGGAGAGGACACTTTTTGGTGCTATTTGCCATTGGGGCTTGTCCTCCTGCCTCAAACCCCATTTTCTACATTCTAGCAGCCCCAGGTCTCAAGGCTGAATATAAAATTTCAACCAGGACTCTGCCTTGGCTCTGGGCCACTCTCTTTATTTGCATCTGCCCAGCTGGGAGACAGTTACTCTCAGTTGACACTTTGGAGAGAATCCCAGTTGGCTTAACAGGGTGCTCCTCTTGGCTCAGATGCATTTCAACACTAGAAAGTTCCTTTAATCAAAAGATCTTTCAGGAAAGAAAATAAACAGCCAATTTTTAAAATCCTCTCTATTGTCTATATTTATATTTGTTGAATAACAAATGAAGTTTGGGCTAATGCTTTGACATAAGTATTATAAAAAGACGAATTTCAGACGGGTAGAATCTCAGGCCTTTGTAAGGTGTGGCTGAGGCAGGTATCTTTGGGTGGTTGGCTCCCCCAAACCTCATGATGTTATCATGTTTTGTCACTGGAGCAAAGATGAGTCTTGGCCAGAAAGTTTGGAATCGGCTCCTAGATATGGTTTGAAATCTACAGTATAAACTCCAGACCAGACCCAGATGATCCTGGAATCACTTTTCTGACTACCAATCTGTGTAGATTCTCATCTCCCCTCCCCTCCAACTGCAATCCTTCAAAACAATGGCCTTCATGGGAGCAGGGAGAAGTCAGACGGGCTCCAAAGAGTTATCCACCACTATAGACAACATCGGATAACATATAAATGATTGAGATAATACGCAAATGAACAAATGAATCCATGTTCCAATAAAACTTTATTTGGCCCGTCCTGATCAAGTTTAATAACGCTTAATAGATTTTTTTAAAACATGAGTAGTAATAACAATTCCTCTGTAATAACAATTATATATATGAACTTCTGGTCAAGGTCAGCAGCTTGTTCCTTTACCAAAAATGTAAAGCCACCCTCTGAGGACAAATGGCACATGAGGAGCAGTGTACATTTCCTTTTCTTTAAAATAAAATAAAATAAAATAAACCCCAAATACTTCATATTTACATATTTTCCATTTAAAAATCGGTCAGCGTGATTAATTCTGTTTTTAAATATAAGTTTCTACTATGTTGCAGGTTTCAATGTACAAATCCTAGTTAGCTGATTAGATTTAAGGTGCTGTTGAGGTGAGGGTGAACACAGCCAAAACCAAGACTGGGGAATCCTCTGCTTAGAGTGGCTAGACTTCCTGTGGGCGTCTCTGGGCAGGCTGGGGTTGGGGATGGGGATGGGGCTGGGGTGGAGCTGAACACCAGTGATGGAAATGGCACAGCATTCCAGGGGCCTTGACTATGCTTCTGCAGAGGAGCTGCCGTGCCCACACACCATCACCCAGGCTCTACGTGCGAGTGCATCTCTGGGTTTGCATGCTCCAAACTCATCCTGGCCTAAACTAGGAGGGGCATGATTGCCTCCTTTGTCATGAGGTCTCTGTGCTGCTGCTTGACCCTAGGTGCCCTCACTGTTGGGATCCCACCTTTCACACCTTCCCACTTTTCTGGATTCCATGTCCCCAGGTCACTTGCTCTCCAATGCACTTCTTTAGGGCCTGCTGTTTGCCAGGGCTAAATCAATGATGAAAATCAGGGCAGTGTTAATGAAACCTGATAGGACCCATCTGAAATTTTCTCTCCAACATATCTGCTCTATGGCGAGCACCTCATTCAGTGTGGGAGTGTGGGGTCTCTGGAGGGATTTGTGGAATTGCTATCTTCAAACTCACCCATATATGACATCCCTTGGAAACTAGGGCTGTGTCTGTGTCTGCGCATGTGTCAGGAAAGTGCAAAAGGAGTTCTGGAGGAGGTGTGTGCACAGGCCTGGGAGAATGAGTTGTTTTACCCACAGACCCAAAACTGATCTGATCTAAACCAACATTTCAGATCATGCAGGAGTGAGGCAAATACAGAGATGTGCAAATGAGAAAACCGATGTACTTGAGGCACCAGAAAAAAATGCTTGACTAGGAAAAGAAACTGGCTCAGTTTCCAATTTCAGAATGCACAAAACGTCGCTCAGAATAAAAGAACATGGAATAGGTCAGGTGGTAATGAACAGGGAAGATACATCTTGGACTAACTTTTCTGACTGAAAAGCCAGTGCGACCCCAGCAGAGGAAGACATTATAAAGTGGACAGACACTGGTCTGGGGGCCTGGAGACTGGGGTTCAAGGCTTTGCCCTGACACTGGCAGACTTTGCTTCTCTGGTTCTCACTCTTTCCTCATCTGTCAGTTGAGGCTATTTGGGCCACTTGGTTTCAACACCATGCCTGCAAGATTGTTCTACTTCTACCCGCCCAGGGAGGGCCTGCCGACTGCTGTCTAAGACACGTTTCCTCCCTGCAGGCCACCACTTATAAAACGCTGGGGGAGTGATCAACCCCCAAACTAGGCTCCTGTTCAAACCTGCTCCCAGAGGTTAAAGGCTAGTTATTAAGGCAGTTTAAGAAATGAACATTCCTCTTGATCCTCGGATCCTTCCTGTGTTCTGCTAACCCCCAGGACGATGGAGTTGCCAGGGAGGCTGCCTCCTCCGGCCAGGCCCGGCTTTCCTGGGTGGCCCCCGGCGGGGAGGGGTGCCGGAGCTCCCCCTCCGCCCTCACCACCTTTCTTTGGAGAAGGCCTCGGTCTGCACGAGATCTCCAGGGTGCTCGGAGATGCAAGTGCCGTTGAGGTCGCCCAGTTTATTGTCTGGCAGGTCTTCGGGCTTGGTGCAGAGTTTCAGGGCTCGGGAGATGAACACGTCCAGGTCGAATTGGGGGCTGGCG